TCAATGTCTACTTTTATATTTATATTCACATATGCTCTATCCTTGATATTCAGCACTGTAATGAGTACATCACCATAAAGACTACATTTTTAACCATCAATTTTATAGCAATACATGTCAGCTTAGAATAAAATTTCTTAAGTGAAATAATACCCATGAGAATCTATGTATTGTTGCCAACAAAAAAAAAGTCTATTCTGTTATCAAAGAATTCTAGTGTCCTAGAATTGATGAATTCATCAAAGGTGCTTTGAACTGTTGCTTGGTTGTTGAAGACTACTTTTTGCAGGAAGTTAACAAGATGCTTGAAAGAGTGGTCATCAGAGAGAGGTTTTGGTGAGTAAGATGGGTGAGGCAGAGTTTTGTAGCCCTGTTTTCTTCAATCGCTGCAGAGTCTGTCATGAGACATGATGCGGTTGAGCATGGTCATAGAAAAAAAACTAGTTCTTTACAATTGACATTTTGCATTTTCTCTTATTGCTTTATATGGATTCAAGAAAATGTACTGGTTTAGTTTGGTTTACGGCATATCAACCTCAATGGGTTATTTAATGCCGACAAAATTTTTATTGCTGGTAATATTTTGTTTAGTGAAAAATCCATTTCTTGCAATATTTTTTCCTTCAAAAATGTATTGCTGGTAATAATTTTTTTCAAAAAAGTATTGCTAGTAAAAAAATTTTTCAAAAAAGTATTGCTGGTAATATTTTTTCCAAAATGTATTGCCGGTAATAATTTTTTTTTACAAAGTATTTCTGGTATTGAAACCTGGTATTAAAACTTTCATAATGTTTTTACCCCAGTTTTGGGGTTAACTATTTGCCCATAGTTGGGACCCTAACAGCTGCTACCACCCTGGGTTAGGGTGGACCTGGGAACACCAGCAATTAAGAGGTGGTTCCACACTCCTCAAAACCTCCTGATGGACGTAGTATACCCAGGACACAGATGAAGTTTATCGTCATACCCAGGACGGAAATGTACTGGATGATTTTGCTTGCCAACCACTAAACAGTAACCATAAAATTTTTAATGCAGCTTTGGGTAGGAGAACTGTCATTGTGCTTCATGCCAGTCTACTAATATGTGGAACATTATCATACAGAATGCATTTTTCATTATATGTCACAATACAATGAAGAAAGTTCTTTTTTGTTGCACAAAAGTAGTGCAATGCAGGCCTGACACTGATAAAAAGAATTTATTTTACTTAAATATTTATGTTGGCAACATAATGTTCTTCTCTGTCAAGGTACTTGATTCAGTAGTGAACATTAATCACACAAATTGAACATCAAAGTAAAATTTCCAGCAGCTATCATGTCAGGCTGTGAACTCATAGGTGTGTGTGTGTGTGTGTGTGTGTGTGTGTGAAAATAGACACACATGCCTTATGCCAGACTAAACCAAGCTCCATACTTAGTAAATGTATATATGCTTGAACCAATTTTAAAAAGGTTCCAAAAAAGCAACTATGTTTTTCGTAATATCTTCTAAACCCTACTTTACAGACAGTATTATATTATTGCATCATATTTAAGTACTGGACTCTTATTAGATTAACAAGCAAAAATAGTTTTTAATAATAAAACCTGTTTCAACAGTTTCAAAAAAATAATTATTTTGGAAGAGACCAACTTAAAGAGGAAAATGCTTTCAAATAAGAAACAAAGTGAAACTCATCTTAGGGTGATGCCATCTTTACTTGGATAGAAAGGAAAACCTGTTGCCCCAGGAAGTTTTGGACTTCCTGTGGTGTTAAGGGTGGTGGAGGAGGAAGAGTCTAAGTTAATGATTAATTAATGATTCTCAAACAGATGTACCCATTGGCACCCTCAATTACTCTGGAAATCACATGGACTTGGATACCCTACTCTGAACAAGCCCTTCTGAAATTACTCATTAACAGGCTCTCTATAGTAATCACCTTTATAATTCATTTATTGCTTCTTTTTTTTTTTTTTTAGTCCTGTAGAAATTCACTAAATATGTGTAAGTATGCTGACAAACAAGTACATTTCAAGTGATATTTTTAAGTTTTAAATTTTGATAATGCTGAATTGATCTCATTTTGACTTTTAAATTTTCTCACTTTTCTAGCAGTCCGGTTAATTTGGAAAGGTTAGGTTAAGTTAGTCGATGTGAGAGAATGCAATAAAATATCCCTTTTCATATTTTCCTAACATTATTTTATTGTTTCACAAACTCTAAGCTTGTTATTCTGAAAAATAACAGTTTCTGTTGACCAAATAAGAGCATTATGTAAATTTTTTACTCTTCATGATAAAAAACTGTGAATGTTTTGTCTAATCAGCTAATCATAGAAAAAAAAATCTATAATTTATTTCAGTTGATAAAGATGTTATAGAAATGAAACTTTGGTTTAAATATTAAAATGATTTTTTGTCCAAAATCCCAGATTTTTAGAATATATAAGTATAAAAGATATAATTTAATGGTTGGTTTTTAACATTGCTGTCAATGATTAAGTTTTAAACAAATAGGTTTAAATTTTATTAAATTTTAAAGGGTTTTTTTTATTCCCTTTACAAAAATGATATTTATTTTCTGAACAATTTAAATTTAATTACCAGGTAATTTCTTTACAAATAGGATCAGTAACAACATTCACCAAGTTCTATGATAGATATTTATAAACCTATGTTCATTGACATTTGATAAATATACAAAACTGACCACAATGGACTGTAGTGTGAGACTTTCTCATGTTCTAAATGCATTTTCTTGATTATAAAAGCAAAGTGAAAGAGAGGATGAAGAGTGAGAGAGAAAAAACATTAAAATCAAAAATAGTGAGAGAGGCAGATGAGGAGAGGATGAGAAATAAAAGAAAAAGAGAAGGATAGAAAAGGGAGATATCAAGAAAGAAAATGGAAAGAGGAAAAGTAAAAACAGGAAGACAGTGGAGGAGGAGGAGAAAGAAGAGGAGGAGAGTATCTGCTTAGAGAGCAACTTTTGTTAACTGATCAACAACACTCACTCCCACCGAAAAAAAGTTATTTATAAATCTTAGCTATTGTATTATTTCAACATTTTTAGACAGAGCTGCTTCTTAAACTTTTGTTGGGTATGTATCCTCTCTCTCACACACACATTCAGATATGAGCATATGCACACTTATACATAGTCAGTTGGGAAGGTGCATGTATTTACGTGTGAATATGCATATATATATATATATATATATATATATATATATATATATATCTATAAAAGCAAATGTGCATAAGTGTGAATATGCATAGATGCATGTATGCCAATGTGTGAATATGCACAGATGTGTGTATGCCAATGTGTGAATAAGAATAGTTGTATATATGCGTGCCAATTTGTGAATAGGCATAGATTGTGTGTGCACTAATGTGTGAATATACACAGATGTGTGTGCCTATGTGTGAATATGCATAGATGTCTATGTATGTGAACATTATTAAAAGGAATGTCAGAGTCATCAGGTGCATCTGTTTAAGAATCATTAATCATTAGACAGGTAGTATTGTCACCTGGAGGACAACAGGAAGTTCATATTTTCTCCCATTTTAATCAAACAAAAATACTAAAGTATCAAGAACATTTTTTTTTGTTTATCTCTTGATTCGTAAGAATTTCTTCTTGGCTTCTTTCACGCAAAAAACTTTGTCAATATTTAGGAAAATTATTTCTCTACTGAGCTTATTGCTTTAGTTTTTCTAAAAGAATTTATAAATAAAGGGAAAATTAAATTTGTGCTTTTTACTATTGGACTTGCACCAGAAATCAAAGAAAAGAGAAATGTCCAAGGAGAAGAATTAATATAATCTTAGTGACAGAATAAGGCAATTATAAATATCATTTTAGAAATATTTATCTACTAGAGTAAAAGTTACCCTATCAGGTGGCATTTAAGCTAGCTCCTGTGGAGGGCTATTAATTGGGCCTCTATCACAATAGGTTGGGAGGAGTAGATGCAATATGCAACAATAGACTACATAAGAACTCAAAATTAATCACTGCATTTAAGTACTGCATTAATATTTAAGCTCACCTTTTAAAAGTTCAATGATAATTCTTTTGCCACCACTTAATTCAAAGACAATTTGATGTATGTAGGTCCTTACTTTCTCTACAAACAGTAGTTTTTATTTCATGGAGGACTTTTGCTGAATTTCGCAATTACTTTCAATTATTCCTAAATTTATTTCTAAGTTAAAAAATTTGTCATCATACAAAAATCATCACACAAAAAAAAAAAAAATCACTTAAAAAATATTGATGAAAACAACGCAGTAATAAAAACTTGGGAATCTCAAATTTCAGGATTGTATTTTTAATTTGCTCACAGAGTCAGTCTGATTTCAAAATAGTATGATATGTTGGACTACAGCCTCTAGGAGTAAAGTTGAAAACACAGATAATTTTATTTTGAAATACTGTAATTTGAGAACAGTAATTTTTTCATTTGAACATGTGCTATTGAAAGTTAGAGTTAGAGTTGTGTCCCCTTAATTGTTTTTATCAGTAGAAGCGAAGATGGTGGAATCTGAAAACAATTGCAGTAATAAAAACTTAGGTATCCAAAATAAAGCTCGTCCAGATCCAGCCCGGAATGATTTTAATTTGCTCATGAGGTCAGCCTGATTCCAAAATGGTATGATATGTTGAGCTATAGCCTCTAGGAATAAAGTTTAAAAAATGTAACACACTGACATTTGCATTTATTATATAGAAGATTAATATTTAAACTATAACAAGCAAATAGTTAATCACAAATGTTATCACAATAACTATCTATTTAGTAAAATTCAGAGGGTTAAAAACCTAAATATGCAAAAATAAAAATTGAAAAAATAAATAAAAAATTTAAGATGTGTGTTTTATCATTATCCTTAATCTTATGCACTTTGGGTAATCTATACAAACATGTCAGAATTAATCCTTTTGGATAAATATTTTTCTCTGTGATTTTTTAGAACCATGTATTAAAATTAAAAAGCACTTACTCAGATAGCAAGTCTGATATTTCCTTGTGTCCCTGATCAAGAGCAAGTTCTCTTGCAGTTTTTCCTTGGGAATTTGTGGTCTGAATGGCTTCATCACTGATACCGCTCACAACCAAACTGACCACCTGCGAAAGTCCATGATGAGCGGCAAAATGGAGGAGGGTGTTCCGATTGTTATGTTCTGAAAAAGAAAAGGAAAATGTATTAAAAAATAAGTGTTGTTGAATTTGAAAAAGAGAAAAGCAATTTTAATTTTTTTTTCCACAACTGAGAAAGTTCAATTAATATTTTATACATATACTTACCACATATTTATCACTGATTTTACAAGTAAGAGCTTTTAATTATCCTTATTTGAAACAAGTTTTTCAGGCCCAAAGTTTCTTTTAATGAACTTTGCCAATGGACCACCCAACAACCAACCCTCAATTCAAACTACCAAAGCAAATTTGCAAGTGTTTTAACACTTGCAACAATAGAAAGCTTTTGGTGATAAAACTCGCCACAAAAGTCAGGTTTCAACCTGACTTTTGTGGCAGAAAAACTTTTGAAAAAGTTTAGGATGGGTGTTCATTGAAAATGGTTATCATCCAGATCATCTGTCAACTTGGGCATGAACTGACAATATTACAGCTGTGCAAAAAAATTGTCTAATAAATGTCATTGAAGTGAAAATATTACCGACTGTGGTCCAACCTAGGAAAACCAAATTACCTAAAATGCAGATTTTTAAAGCAAATAGGTTCTAACCACTTGAAAGATTGATGAAACAATCTTCCAATTATTGAACTTTGTTCTAGATTAAGCAAAAATGAGTAAATATCAAGAGAACAAGATGAAAATAACTATGCGAACATGCTAATCTTGTAAATTCATTAAGGTAAATATGCTTGGTAATTTTATTGACATGACCAAAATATCTATGTTGTTTATTAGATGGCATTAGGGGCATTGAGTTTTAACTTCATTCAAAAAGACTGTTAAGAACATCCTCTAACCAAATTTATAGAAAATCCTACAGATGCATGCTGGGATTTCTTTCTAACTTATAAAAATGGAAAATTCTCATGTCCACATTTTTGTTCTTTCTTGGCTTGAAGTCAGAACATGATATATATGAACCTACATCCCCCTGAACAGAAGTAGCTTCCTTTCTTCCAATATATATATATATATATATATATATATATATATTTATTCAAATAACCAGGTTGGCAATGACTGGCCATTACTATTACTTTTATGTGCTTTCACACAATCATCGGGTAGCCAGTGACTTGTAATAAGATGAATACCCTATATACAGGTAAAGCAAACCTGCACACAGTTGGGAGGAGGGGACTTAAGATCATCCAGCCAAGATCATCAAAGTCTAAAATAGCACAAAAAAAAAAAAAAAAAAAAAAAAAAAAAGTTTCCCACCTGGAAAAGTTTGCCAGTATATATAAAAGAATTATATATATATATATATATATATATATATATATATATATTTATTTCTATTTTTATGCCCAGTTATCCCACCCATCCTTATCATTTATTAAGAACACTTGTCAATTCTGCTTATTGAGAATTTTATCAATTACACTTAACCATGTCCAATTATTCCACAGATTATGGGCTCAGTCTGTCCTGCTATTTATCCATAGCTGGGGAGAGAAGAGATAGGTTCATATCTTTCCCAAGGGTATTTGTGTGTAAATGAATGTAATGAATATGACTGGAATTCAAATTTGGCTCTCCGATTTCACATTCCAAGACATTATCCATTACACCACTTTAGACCACTTGGCCCATATTGATTTTGAAGATCAAAGATAGCAAGCCATATTTTTAAACATATTGTTGCATTGTGTTGCTCTATGACACATAATCAGTAGTCAACTTCTTGCCTGTCACTTAGTTTACTATGCACTTTACATCTCTTCTAATTAATATATGGAAATAGGTACAATCCTATTTAACAATCCATTACACTTCCCTGAACAAAGGTTTTTCTGAAACTTCTTCTACAACCTCTTTCTGCCTCTCCCCCTTAAGGTATATGTCCAGTTCTTCTGAATGGAGATCTTGGTTTCATTCCATCTTCTTCCACATCTATCATCCGTGGGCTTGTCTTCTATTGCACTCTCCTTGTCTGAAGAACTCCTCCTTTCTTCTCTGTCAAGGTCTTATTCCATCACAACATCTTCCTCTTCAATTCTGAGTCTTAATTGTTCAGAATGAACCATTAGGCCTTTTCCCTTCATTTGATATAATGGCCATGTTATGTCCCCTTTGCCTGATGAAATTAAATCTCTCAGGACTTGCTACTTTGTCTTTCTTATACAACACATATTAAATTTTTTTATGTTAAGAAAAGTAAAATGCAATTTAAAAAAGAAAGTAAAATGTGTGGCATATAGACAAAGTACTGGGATTAATTGAAAATGTTATGTATCATGTTAATGCTGTGCCATGCTGGACAAGTGTAAGTATCACTGATTTTACAAATAAAGGCTTTTAATTATCATTATTTGAAACAAATGTCAAGACAAAATGTATTGTGTACTTATCTGTGGCAACCCATCGTGTGACTGACTGCTCATAGCTGCAAACACTATGCTTTATTGAAATGTGATTGGTCTATAAATAAGTACAAGGGAATTAACTCTGTATACATCACATATGTTAAAAGTGGCTTGTAAAAATTTCAGCTGGAGAGGTGGATAGACATTATATCAATGCATTTCTTGAAAATCAACAACATTATATGATGTAGGAGAAAGTTGACATACCCAAAATATCTAAATCAAGCACTGAAATTCATTGCATCTTCTTAATTATACAAATCATTTTAATGTATGGAGTTAGCTTTTTAAGTAAAAAAAAAAATAAAAAATCTACTGGGTCATATTTATTTCATTGTGAAGTTTGTTTTAAAATTATGACATGCAATAGATATAAACAAGAGAAATTAACAACCCTAATTGTACAAAAGATTGGTTTTCATCATAATATGTGAATACAGTAAATATGGTGAGACTGACAAGGACTCTGATACTATGAAATTCTGTGGATACTGTAAGATTGAAAAAAATTCCAATACTATGAAATTCTATGCATATGATATTAAGGAACTCTGATACTACCATGAAATTCTGTGGATACAGTAGGATTGTTAAGAATTCCTATTGACCTATTAAGTTATTGGCAATCATTTTTATTAACAAAACAAAAGCAGTAAAAATCGCAATAAAAATAAATTCAGTTAGAAAATATCTTAAAAATCTGAAATTACAACATTTATATTAATGCTTATTTTAAAATAAAAAAGAATAAAATGTCAAAGGAAATTATCAAAATATTAAAAAAAAAAGTATCAGTTTTAAACACAAATGTTCAGATGTCTACCTTAATAAAACAATAAATATTAAAATGACTTTTGAAGGGTTTATCTGCATTCAGATATTCTACTGTATATGAGGCTAGATAAGTAAGTATGAAACCTGTCACAGAGTTATTAAATTTAAACTGAAATTTTCATTGCATAATATTCAATCTATGTTATCAATATTTATGACTGAATTAAATGAATTGACAAGAAAGGATATTATTTGAAAATTAGATCTGTGTAAAATAAATACCTTTTTCTGCATCATTAAACTGTAGACTTATTGATGTCCTCATATATAATAAAAGAAATAGCACACAGTGAGTGCGGGTGACAATAAAATAGGGCTCAATGTAAAATAACAGCTAAAATTTATACAAATAAAAATATGCATTTTGTTCTTCACCATTTCGTGCAACTATATAAATACAAGAGTAGACACTGAGGTCAACACCAAATGGTGACCACGGTGTCCACTCTTATATTTACACACACAGTTTCTGATACTGAGCATATTTACCGATAAATAGAGCTTCCTCAAAACTATATTTTTTATTATATATATATATTCCCAAATGATTACCCTTCTAGGTACTAACCAGGTTCGACTTTGCTTAACATTGGTGATTATATGGGAATTGGTGTTTCAATTTGATATAGTCGTAAGCCAATTCTTGATTAATTTATACTCATGTGGTATAACTCCAGAAGTACACACACACACTATATATATATATATATATATATATATATATATATATGAAAAAAAATATATACAGAAAAAAACAAACAAAAATCCTTATATACAATTATGCTGTTTTAATGTTAATATGTCAACGTCGGACATTTTGGTCTAATAAACCATCTTCAGGACATATTCATAAATTATAACATTATCAATACAACATGACAAAGATGATGTACATAACAAGACTTATCCAAACAGATATTAACATTAAAACAGCATAATTGTATATAAGGATTTTTGTTTGTTTTTTCCGTATATATTTTTCTTCATATTGTCGGATCTATATCCATATATTTGCTTACATATATATATATATATATATATATATATATAAAGAAAGAAAGAAAGAACAGTAAGATATATAATCCGGTGTTATTATAGATATTTTTATTTCTACAAAATAGTGCTCAATGTAAATTTACAGAGCATCAATATTATAAATTAATTGATTTAAAATATTTTTTTTTTTTTTTGCTACACAGTTCTAAACATGTTTCAAAAATGGAAGCTGAAAGCTCTGAATTTAATTACAAAATTAAATTTGGAGCTTTTCAGCTTATAATATATATATATATATATATATATATATATATATATATATATATATAGATTATTTGCTTATATACTTGATGACTTCATTTTCTTAGTTCCACTAGGACAATAAGACGCATTTTATTATATTTAAATCATTTTCTATCTTGAGGATTTCCTCTAAAATTATTAAAAGATATGTTATCAAGCTCTTTAAAAAAATTTTGGCATTTCAATTCATAATCTAGAAAATATAAACATTAAAATCAGCCGTTCCTATGAATGCTTTTAAAATAACTAAAGAAAATTATTCCAATTTTTGATTAAAAAAAATAAAATGGACTTTTGTCAGTTTTCACAAATTATGATTAAGGCATTTCTTAAAAACATAAATAAAAAATAAAAATCAATCAATATTCTCTTTATATTGCCTCTTATACATGCACGCACACAAAATATATAACTAGATATATAACAGTGGTTTCTGCTACAAACAGGGAATACAGTTTCAAACCCTGTCGATCAGTACAATTTACACTGTTTATAAAAACAGGGCATCTACTCAAGCACGGTAACCCATAAAATAACATTTAGAGTAGTAGGATTATATATATATATATATATATATATATAGTTTATGAAAAACTAGGTAATCCGTATGGGTAAACCTAAGGAGGATAAAAAAAAAATATATATATATATATATGTGTGTGTGTGGGGGGGTTGGTGCATAATTATCAAGCGTTTTTAAACAGTATTTATCATTAAAAAAAAAAAAAAAAAAAATTCAACAATAACATTTTGAAATGATTATTCCAAAGCATATGATTATCGACACATTTTTATAACCTGAAAATAAAATATTTTTATTAAAACAAAACAGCAAGTTTTTAACTCGCCTACAAAAAAACGCCTGATAATTATGCACCAAATACATATATATACACACAAAAAGAATTAATGGAATTTATTTTTTAAACAAACATTTTTATTTACTGCAAACATCATTTTTAGTGAATAACTGTATATGAGTAGATGCTTTACTTATTTTAAACAGTATTTATTTAATCTACTACCTTGCATACTCAAGAAAGCTTAAAAAAAATGTGTAGGTTCAAATCCTGCTAGAGGGCACATTTTCTTTATTAAGTTTTCTCAAGTACATAGGCAAGCAGACAAAATACTGTTTAAAATAAACAGATCGTCTACTCAAATATGGGTATCCATTAAAAACAATGTTTGAAGTAATACACACACACACACATATATATATATATATATATATATATATATAAAAAAAAATCTTCTCTCAAACACACAGACTTATTTACTTACAAAATGTAAGTACAACCTGAAGGCCAGTCTTTAAAAAAAAAAAAAAAATTAAAATATGAACAATAAAAGGTTTGTTCATTTTATTTTTTCTATTATCCGTTAAAAATTTCTTTCTCTATTATGATTATCTACAAAATATCCATAAACTATAAAACAAAGCATCAAGGACATTTTAATTAAAATTTGAAACTTCTACCACCAAGATATCTTAAATAAAAATTCAATAATCTAACAGTAAATACTAAGCATTAAACTGTTACTCCAAATTTTTCTCCACATGGACAAGAAAAAAAAAAAAAAAAAATACACAGACATATGTATAAAAAAATTCAATAAATAAATAAAAATTAAAAAAAAAATGAAAATCTAGTGAAGAAGATAAAGCATTATAACTTCAGTAATAAACTCAATAATAAATACTTACTTTATATGAAATATATCCAGTTTCTTATATATAACTAATCCAACCATATATAACAAGTTACTAGTTTCCAATGCTATGACAATGTCTTAACATGTAATTGTAGACACTAGTGTTTTTTACATCTGATAACAAACAAAACTCTTTCCCATGAGTGGAAGGCGGGAACTCCCACCCATTGTTTCATAAAACAAGTAAATTCATAAATATATATATATATATATATATATAAAAATACATACAAATAAAAGTTATAAAACATGTCATTTAGTACAATGCAATAATAATATAAATGGTATTAACATCTGTTTGGAAATTTTCAGGATGTCATTCTTGGCATGGGATTGCCAAGACTAACTACTCGCAAGAAAGTTATAGCAGTATGTGTTTCTGTGTACGAGTTCTACCATCTCTTTATTACATCATTTCCTCCTAACATCCAATGTTACCTTAGCAACAACTTCCGAAACTGGTGACCACATCATGGGTAAAAAAAAAACCAAGGAGTTGCTTTCTTGTAGAAGAGTATCACCACTGATACTGAAAGCATTATGAAAAAAGGGTACAGATATAAAAAGAAACTAAACAGTCTAGCTTAATCTTTCTCAAGAAAGAGGACTTAAAATTTTCAAAAACTTTTTTTATATTATCTAAAATAAAAATATCTACAGATATCAGGTCAAAAAATTGCCATGCCTTGCATTTAAAAAAAAAAAAAAAAAAAAAAAAAAATACAAAACAAAAAAAAAAATACAAAACTAATAAATTTTTTAAATGGAAGTATTTTTTTTTTTTAGTTTATTTAAAAGGAAATTTTGGATATGCAGTTAGTGTAATAATAGTTACTAATAAGTAAAACCAGGAAAACAAAATTCAAATCCTTACAGCCATATCACATTGAAACACCAGTTCTCATACAATCCCCAAAGTTAAGCAACACTGAACCTGGTCAGTACTTACATAAGTGGCCAATTGGGAATACCAGGTGCTTGGATGTGTGGGTAACATAATGGATAACAAATCTGAATTGGAGAGCAAAGTTCCAATTCCATTTGTGTTTGTTGTACAGTGTAACCCGGATATAAGAGACCCGGATACAGAGAAGCCCGGATATAAGAGAGATTTTCTCTGGTCCCAAATTAGAGCCTGTGTTAATGTATATAAAATAGACCAAACCCGGATATAAGAGACTTCTCCTGTCCCGACAACTCTCTTATATCCGGGTTACACTGTATAAGAGAAACCCGGATATAAGAGAGATTTTCTCTGGTCCTAAATTAGAGCCTGTGTTAATGTATTTAAAATAGTCCAAACCCTGATATAAGAGAAACCCGGATATAAGAGACTTCTTCTCCAGTCCCGACAACTCTCTTATATCCGGGTTACACTGTATTCCCTTATGCACAAATACCCTGGGGAAAGGAATGAACTCACCTCTTCTCCCTCAGCTATGGGTTAATTAGTAGAATTTGAATCAGGAAAAATTATTATTACCTTAAAAAATTATTTAAAAAAAAAAAAATTCTTACACTCTAAAAATATTTTCTGGCTTTAAATAACCTGCAAAAGATTGATAAGCCATAAAAAACAAATCAATCAATCAAATCCTGAAGAAGATCCATCTATATAAAAATTCTACCTCCTTTCTCTGAGGCAGTGATACAGATATTCTTATTTTTCTGTGATTTTTTCAGTTCTTTTATATCTTTGTGGTAATGTTTGATGGTTTCTAAGTACGAAGCTTTTATCAAAATCTATATCATTTTGTTTATGTTTCCATAACATTTAAGTTTTGGTAACAAATCTGAATTGAGAGTTTGGTGTTCTGTATTGATATCCTCATCTAAAATTGTGGATGAGTTTGTCCATAATAAACAATCTCCAAGAAGGGGGTTATTTTATCATTCACTGACAAACTTTTTTTTGTTTTGATTTTGTTGTAACCTAGGGAAGGTTACTGAATAGAATAATCAAACAAAGGTAGGTAATGAACAATAATATTTAGGACACGAACAACACATGTAAGATTCACCAGCGGTATGTAGAAGATGTAGTCAATTGCTAGAAGTGAGTCAAGTGAATTCCACACTGAATCTCCAACTGTAGACCAACATACAGTATTTACTACTGTATTTATATGAATGGGGACATACCTGTTATCGTCTGTAGGGATGCTACAACAGATTTTTAATCTTTCAATAGATAGAAATGAAATACATACTTTCTTTCAGGAAAATTTTTTTTTTTAAATTTAGAAACTGGTTTGTTTGCTTTGGTAAATTGATAATGATTTTGTCCCACATATTTGAGAAATAGCATGTGTAACAATATTAATAACAAAATTATATAACTAAAATTTTGGTTATTATGCCTGTACACTCCCATAAAAGCCATTGTATAATGTAAGATATCTCCTGGCAAAGTTCATCAACTCAATGTGACATCAACTCTACAATTTTTCAGAAAACTTTTATAAAGATGTGAAGCCATGTGGTCTTAATGGCTGTCCATAGCTCTCTGATATTTGTAAGTGCATTGTGTGTGAATAGACCACTACACAACATCGAAAAAAATACATGATTGGATTCATATTGGACAAATGTAGTGACCAGACTATTTGTAAGAAATTTCCAGAATACTCCTCAAACCAAATAGGAGGCAAGGTTGTGATAAATATTGTTTGATCTTTGAACATGTTGATAAACAAGGGCATTAGCCTGCTGGAGAAAAATGTAACTTCTTAAAACATTTTTTATAGTCCTGTATGTTTGCTTGTTTACTGTTTACTTTAAGGATAAAATAGTTACCCTATTTATTTTATATATATAAAATAAAAATACTATTTTAAATGCAACATCTATAATAAGTAACCGTAACGGTGTAATCCCTGTATAATATATTAACTGCACCAGCACTTCACTAACCAGATATTTTTATTAAAATTTACATTATGTAAGGGTCAGTGAAGATTGGTTTCTGCATGAAACTCAGAGTTGTGTACCAGTAAGGGATGATAGACAGACAGACACACACACAAAAGAGTTGGGCGGTTTTGCAATTTATGTTTCGGTATCAGTTTCTGTGTTTGTTTGTTTTTTTTTTTTTTTTAGTTTTTTTTTGATACCGTGATTTTCGATTCGGTTTTTCAGAATTTTTTTTAAGGAAACCATTCATTTTCTTGTGTAAAGATGGGATTTCCAGTCAATATCTAATTTTGCTTGAAATTGATAAATTTGCAACTTAGTCTGTTCAACTCGCAATTTATAGGGTATTTCTGATTCAAATCTTTAAAATAATCATATGGCTGGAAAGAGAATAAATCTTTCTAAATATGTAATTTGTATGTGCTTTTATTCATTGAATTATTATTATTTTTTTTTTTTTTGTTTTTTTTTATAGTGAGTATTTTGCTTTGAACAGCCGAAAATACAAAAAATATGATTCCCCCTGGACTAAATTTTACACTTTGATTTGCAAAATCAAAGTGACCAATCTTTATCAATATTCTTGAAATTGTACACTGAAGACACATTAAACTACAATCAGGAAGATGTTCATTTCTTCTGACCCGTGGAAGCGAATTCCTTCAAAAATTATACAGTAAGCAAAAAAAAAAAAAAAAAAAAAAGTGTCTGACATCGACGGGCACTTGTTTTCGATTAAAGTTTATTTAAACTTTCAAATAAATTGTCAACTACCATATTTATTAACAAATTGGTAAAATACAAAAGAAATTGTCACATAAACTATCTATATTTTTGTAGTGAAAACACAAAAATAATTAAAAGCATTTAATTTCATTTTTAGAATGTGTAAATTTCCAAATCTGCCAATATCACTTGTTCTTTTTAGATACACATTTTAAAACTGAAATTAAAAACTATTTTAATCATTTCAATCTCTAATCTTACCTAAGCGTATTCGTTAGATAAAACTATAAAGATATTTGTAAAAATAAAAATAAAATGAATTAATTTTCCTTGTTTATAAAAATTTTATAGACAGAATAATACCCACTGAACACTAGTAGCTAAAAAAGAATAATTTTTACTTTGGGTTTAAGAAAAATGACTTGCAGTTTTGAAAATATACACATTTTAAACCTGAAATTAAAACCTTATTATTTTTTTTTTTATATATCTAATTTTAGGTGTATTCACTAGATAGAAACAATTTTATTTGTAGAAAATTTTATTTTTAATTTTAGACTAGAGACCCACATATCTGGAAATATACAAATTTTAAAAGTGAAATTAAGAACTATTTTAATTTTTAATTCTTAATATCTAATTTAGGTGCATTCCCTAGATAAAAAACAAATTTATTTATTTAAAAAAAAAAAAGATCTTCATTCATTTTTCTTGTTTACAACAACTTTTTCATGATTGGTGTACTGGCTTACTAGAAAACACTTACAAAAAATCCGACTTCATAAAATGAAACAAGCAACTATTTTACTTTTAATCTTAACACAAAAAGTTTGTTTGTTTCTCTTTTTTTTTTCGTTTTTTTGAAAACCAAAACAAATAGATTTTAAACATGTCATATTTCCTTTTTTTTTTTTCTTCTTCATTTCTTTTGTAAACAAATAGATTTCACATTTATTTCCTAAAACTAGCAATTAAATGATTTTAAACATATTTTGTTCAATCTTTTTCTCTTACAATGGTATAAATATTGATAAAATTTAATTTTATTAATAACTGAAAGTCTTTTTCAACAGTGTTTCTTTGGATATGATCACTCAGTAGTGATATAAAAACAAACCGAAATCGTTCGGTTTCATAAAAAAAATTTTGATGCGGTTTCACGGTGTGAAGATGAAATCGTAAAAAGTTGGTTTTTCGGTTAAACCACACACCTCTAACTAAATATATACAGACAGTTCAAAAGTTTAAAGCCACACTCAGAATTAGTATGGGATGAACTTGATAGAAGAGTGAAGGAGAAAAAAAAGAAAGAGCTCTTTAGAGTCATTGGAAAAAAGAATGGAATCAATTCTCAAACTTATACTTTGAGAAACTTTTGCAGTGAATGCCAAAAATTTGTGGTGCAGAAATCAAGGCTAAAGGAAGGCTATTTTGACGAGAGCAAAATTTAATCATAAAATGCTTTTTCTTCTTTTTATCATAATAAAAAAAAATCATGTCTCACTTATTTTAACCGTATATAATAATTTTCTCTTATTTAAAGTACAAAACAACTTCTTTTGGGTCCAATTTAAAAAATTACCTGGGGTGGTCTCAAACTCTTGAACTGTAGTGTGTGTTTGTAGCCATGCATTCGTTACACACACACACACACACACACACATCCTGCCTTTTATAGATAGGGATTACATTTTTACTCAATGTCATTGACAATGACTACAGAAAAATTCTCAAGACTACTTGGTAGTTTGACTTTGTATTATTTTTAAAATCATATTTCTTCTTCTATGAGGATGAATGTTTAGCAATGAATCTGTTGTATTAAAAAACGAAAGAGAAAACCTCTTTAGCTCTCAATGATTTATTCTTGTAATAAATCTTACCTGTATTCACTAAGCATAACATAAAAAGAATGCTTTTAAAAATACCATTGTGTTGAGATGTTTGACACGTCTTTTTCAACATCAATCGTAAACACCTTTAGGCTTTAATGCTATCCTTGTATTCATATTACGCCATTAAATATCAGTATTTTTATGCAAACTGTTAGTGTTAAGTTTTTCATATTTTAATAAAATAGTTTTATATAAAATTTAATAAATTTTGTGTACATACAGATAATGACACTAGTCATGTAATGCTCCCGTAGATTTTTAAGTGGTGAAATTAAGATTTTACATAAATATAATACTTTGTACTTTCTGCAGGTGTTAAAAAAAAAACAAAAAAAAAAAACATGATCACAACTTACAAAAAATATATAAATGCAGGACTGACATTTTGAATAATATCTTTAATGATCATGAAACACCTGGTAAGTAATCCACAAATGAAGGTATT